CAAGGGTTAAGATCCCCTTACCAGTCATCTTTAAAAAAAAAAAGAAAGAAATGCTGAATCTGAAAATCGTCACTGAATCAAAATTTGCTTGCTATCAAGACCCCCAAGAGATGGAAAGCACATTTTAAAATTATGGCTAGGTGAATCTAATTCATAAACCAATTTTTAAAAAATATATGAAATTCAGCCTTGCAAAGCACATATATAAATTAATCCCACCAGCTCATAAGTTTTAAATCAACTTGCTGTTCTTCCAGAAGATAGGTAGCTTAAAAAAATACAACAGTCTGGGCCGGCCCGGTGGCGCACTGGATAAGTGCGCCACTTGGGAAGCGCGGCGGCGCTCCCGCCAAGGGTTCGGATCCCACATACAGACCGGTTCCCGCTCACTGGCTGAGCGAGGCACGGGAGCAACACCGAGGGTTGCAATCCCGTTGCCGGTCCCGGTCCGGTACGGGGGCAACACTGAGGGTTGCGATCCGTCACTGGACATGGAAAAAGACAAAAAGGAAAAAAAGAAAAGAAAAATACAACAGTCTTATGATTTCAGAGTCACGTGATTAAGATTAGAAACAGTTTACCCTGTGCTTAAAGACATGTCGTTACTTTCCAATGAACTGTCAGTCTTCGTGATGAAGGTAGGCAAGTCAATAACAGTGATTCTCTACCTGGTATTTTGTTTAACACCCCCTTTAGGAAGTTGATGCAAACTATGGAAGTACCCCACAGAAGAAAAGTACTCATGCACATACGCACAGAATTTTGCATTAAGTTTTGGAGACTCATGGACCACCCCTAAAACCAATTTGTTGACCCCCCTAAATATTCATAGAGTAAATTTAAGTCTGTCTTTTATGGAGAGCTGGGTGTTCTCCTGGTAGTACAATTTCCACAACTCTTGCTCCACCATATAAAATTGATAAATAAAGGATGGGTAAACTTGACAGGGCAGATGAACATTGTTCTATACTCAAAGTAACTTTTCTTTTTCATATAACTGAAGCTTATCCACATGTCTGTTATTGGCAAGGTCTTTTTTTTAATTAAGTAAAATTGCTTTTATGGGAAGAAACCATGAAACACGAGAATAATTTTCGTAACTGTCCTTTCTTTACCTCAGCTGGCCTGGGGGCAGAAGTTTCGGTGAGGAGCGCTAGAAACAAGGCTCCTCCCCATATCCCCACTACTTTTAATGCAGTTGCAAATAGCCTGGAACACCTTACCAGGAATACCACAGAGGCCTTCATCAAAAATACTACAGAAAACTACAGACGAAACAGCAGCGAGAGGCAGAACCCCACTCTGCACATGACTGGAATTACAGACACACCATGGTCAACTACTCAGCCCTTCTCCGGCACCACTGAAGAGGTAACAGGAAAGGGGGTACAGAGTGTGGTTCGGGAACAGTCTCAGAAAGCCCTTCCCTTGCAAAATACTTTGCTGAAAACACCACTTCTGCAGTGGGGGGATCAGGCACTTTGTGTCCTAGCTGCTGATTGTACATGAATGCCTTTTGCATAGTGAGAAAAATCTGTGAAATAGAACTAAAATGTGTACATTTTTATAAAATGAAGACAATTAGGCTGTTATGGCACAACTGCCCTCCTGCAGGTTGGCCACATTTTCTGACCTGAAGTCAGGGTTCATGATCTTACACATGGCCTGGAATCAAGAAACAGAGTTTGGAATCAGTTGTGAGTCTGCATATCTGTCTTAATCATTTAAGCTGTAAGGGGGGGAAGGAGCCACAAAGCAATGGCAGATTCAGGAATCACCGAGGGAGCATGGTCAAAGTTAAGTAAAATTCACATGCTGTTTCCACATCAATATTCTCAAACCTGCCTGTGACCTTCTTTGGTCCACAAGGTGACAGATAAGTCAAAGGACTGAGAAGCAGCGCCGGCAAGGTCATTACAGTTCATTCAAATGATGTGTCTTTTTCGGGTGTTCATCCCTTTAGTTTTGCTTTCCTCTCAGAGTTTTAGCCACCATTTAGGCAATAACAGTGTAGTTACAGCAAATCAGAAAAGCTAAGGTTTCACTTGGCAGTGTTTAGCTGTTTCCTAATAAGCAACCCAAATAATTCAAAGAAAGTAAAAGCCCAACACTGCTCATGTGACTTAACACCCATTTAGTGCTCTGGTTTCTTTTGTATTGTGCAGAATTTAATATTGCATATGGGTCCCAGCTAGTGGGCACATACTTCATTATTGAGCACAGAACAAATATAGCCAGCACTTTGAACAACTTGTAGGACTTTGTTTTATCTCCCCTTTTCCTTCACTGTGAATCTTCCCTGAGACCTAGTTCTTCCCTTGCCTCTGAACAGAAGTTAGGAAGGCCCCTAACTTTTCTGGACACTCTTTATATCGCTTTAAAACTCATACTCACTTTTCAATCCATTAACAAAAATATCCACTCCAGGAAATAACCCAAACTCTAAATTTGACTGAAATATTTGCTTCTCCTCTCCCATTTGCACCACCCAGTCTGGGCATAAAATAGGGAAAGGGGAGCATGACCAATGCTCGCCCTCCCCACCTTGCTTCTTACCCACCTCTCCTAGATTGATAATGTTGGTTTCAGATCTGTCTGATCTTGGAAAGTGGGGAAGGAAGACAGGAAATGGGAGCAGGAACACTATGACTTAAGGATACCATCATGCTGGCACTGTGCTCTCCCTAAATTTCCAACTCCCAAACCCTTTCAAACCCTGATGTGAGTAAGAGATTCACAACTTACTCTAGAAAATGAATGCTTCTTGGTGGAGCATCTCCTCATTTTGGCCTCAGCTAAAATTCCATTCTAACATCAGTTTACAAGCGTATTTCATGAGCTTAAATATATATGACAGTAGAGGAAAAAAGTTAAGGGTATCATATAAGAAACATTGAATAAAAACCACAATAGCAAAATATCTGCCTGAATGCTGAAAGACTTGACTTTTAGCAAAAAGAATATTCTCCCATTTTTGCCCAGGTTTGACCATTGTGAAACAGAGAGAGGTCCAAGAGGTGGCTAGGCTCTGCTGCATGAATCAAGAACACCCAGCTCCAGGGCCCTGTTGCAGACACTTCACCCACTGAGCCAACCCAGTCCTGTGTCACAGAGCTCACATGGTCCTGCCCCAGAGCTGGGTTTGCAGCCTTGAGTCATGGCAAGCACACTGATGATTTTTTTTTTCTTTTTTTAGCCTTTTTCTAGTGTGATATCCACTGCAGTGTTTACATGAGCTCCCAGACAAAACTCAGAAAGACTATGAAGCCAACTACCTCATGCCAGAGCTGGGTTTGCAGCCTTGAGTCATGGCAAGCACACTGATGATTTTTTTTTTCTTTTTTCAGCCTTTTTCTAGTGTGATATCCACTGCAGTGTTTACATGAGCTCCCAGACAAAACTCAGAAAGACTATGAAGCCAACTACCTCATGTGTTAGTTTTTTCTTAAAGCTTAGGCAAAATTTTGACTATGTCCTGGGAAGCTTATGTGTAAAATCTATGGTGTTTCCAAAAACAGTCTCTACCATTATGGCTCTCCATGAAGCTAAGCCCTTAGTCTAGGCATCCCTGCTAAATCCCTACTCGATTTAGCAAGAACACTTACTTTATTACAGTCAATTATAAACAGCTCTGGTAATATACTTTGAAGAGTAAAAATGAGTCACTTGGGATATAAAATGCCTGTCTTTGAAAGTAATTTCAAAACAAACTCTACCTTGACAGAGGACACCTAGAAGAATGTGAGAGGAGTAAAATCATTCAACTCGGTTCCTTGGAATGGTGTAAAAAGAGCATCTCTGTGTGTCAGTTGTTCTCTTTATCAGACAGCACCTGGTTTGTGAGGATTTGGGGTTGACTTAGTCTAATTGAGCTGTGAGTTGGAGCGGTCTGTTTCGGGGTGATGACAGGAAAAAGCTGAGTGTGAGTTTTGGGAAGGTAGTGACTATATTTACTCGGCTTTGCATCTCTAGTGCCTGAACATAGTGTTTAATACTTTGTAAAGTTTTGTGGAAATGAAAAGAAAGAAAAGGAAAGGTGTGAAGTGAAGTGGAACTAAATAGAGTGCAGGTGGGGAGAGGGGAATGGAACAGAATGGAGTGACATGGAAAGTCTGGAGTGGAGCACAGCAGAAGGGAGCACAGTAGCATGGAGTGAAGTGGAATTGGGAGAGTGGAAAGAAATGCTGGGAACTGACCAGACTGAAGTAATATCAATTGTTGCCCACTTGGGCTGAAAATAACCCTTTGACTGTCAATACCCAGGTGTGCCAAGGTGTGATGGTCATGCTGAGTAGCCATGCTTTTTATTGCCTAAGTGTTTCATTCATGAGCTAATTCTCCAGTTCCCTTCGTCCCTTCTTTTTCCCTCCTTTCATCTCTTAATCACCCTTCTGCTCTCCACCCTCTCCCCAACACACAAACACACACATGAAAGTGTAAGAGAAAAAAAGAGGAGGAGGCAATGATGGCTGCTCAATTTAGTGACTGGAAAATGTTCAGCCACTCAACAAATACTTCCTGAGAACTGAGCTAGTGTCAGAACACACAGTGTGGGAGAACTCAGGCTTTGAGGCTAAAGCCCTGACTCTGCCTCTTACCAGCTAGATGACCAGGGCAAGTTACTTAAACTCTCTAAGCCACAGTTTCCTCATCTGCAACATAGAATCTTCATCTCTGAGGGCTGTTGCAAGGAATGAGAGAGATAATGCATGTGAAATGCTTACTATGGTACCGGGTTCTTTGTAAGCATTTAAGAAATAATAGCTGATATTGCTATTCTTTACTAGGACACAAAGATGAAGGACAAAATGGTTGCCCTGAAGGAACTCACCACCTGCCAAGGTGTTAAGGGAAATAGAGATTTACGCAGGCTTTTATGGAATACAAAAGATAGGGGCCTGACTGGTGTGGAGGTTTCAGGGATGTCTTCTGGAGAAGGGAATATCTGAACTGAACTTAAAGAAGTATAGGAATTAACCAAATAAAAGGTGGGAGAGAAGGCATGGGGGGAAGTGGGAGAGGTGAAGGAGCTGGGACAAGGTAGGACGAAAAGTTGGTGGCTCCAATTTTTACCTAAAATTAGCATTCTAAAGAAACTTGGGGGATTTTATTATTTCAGTCCAATCATGCATTCCATACTCATTTATTGAACACCTACCATTTGGCAGACATTGTGGAGGATATGAAAGTAAATAATAAAGAGCATATTATAGAATCACACAGAGAGCACAGTGTAGTCAAAATCAGAGTGTAAGATCAGCGCTCTGCTAAGAATGTAGAAAAAACAGATGTATAAGAGCCCTGTAGCAATCCCCCCACATACAGGAACTGAATGCATGTTGAGGAAGACTTCAAATACATGTTTTCAAATGCATTCTTCATCCAGAAACACTCATTAATTCCCACTCGCTATTTTAATTAGTGACACTATTAACACATCTGTCATTCCTTTTGTTTCCATAAATACATAGCACCAGGTACAATTTAGAACACAACCAGAGATAGAAATCTAGAGAAAAAAAATAACAACTGAAATGCTAAGATTTTATGTTTGGAAATGCTACATCATTACCACTAATTAACACTAGTGGCCGGCCCAGTGGCGCATTGGAGAGTGTGCCACCTGGGAGCACGGCGGCGCTCCCGCCAAGGGTTAGGATCCCATGTGGAGACCGGTTCCCGCTCACTGGTTGAGCGTGGTGCGGGCGCAACACCGAGGGTTGTGATCCTGTTACCAGTCAGTAAAAAAGATAAAAAGGAAAAAAAAGAAAAACACTAGTGGAAATAAATTAACATCTGTTTAGTGACCACAATGTTCTAGACCCACAATCAAGGGCTGAGTTGGGGTTGGAACTTGGTTTTGGGAGTGGAAAGTAGGGATGTCACAGAACACTTCCAAAGAGAAAATCTCATGTATTTCTGTCTTTCCTTCCATCAGGAGTTGCTTTGAGTAATGAGAAAGAAAACATAAAGAGATGTTATACAGTATCTGCAAAAAAGAATCTAGGGAATAAAAATAAGGTTTGTCCAGGAAATATGCTAAGCATTTTCATATATTCTGGGAGATGGGTACTTGTATCCATTTTCCATCACTGTGTAGAAAACCTCCCCAAAACTTAATGATTTAAAACAATGATGGTTTACAATTTCTCATGACTTTGTTGGTTGGGTGGGTGGTTCCTCTGCTGGTTTCTCATAGGCTCATTCTTACAGCTGCTTTCAGCTTGGAGGGTCAGCTAAGCTAAAAGATTCATAATACCTCACCTGCACGACTGTCAGTCAATACTGGCTGTTGACTGGAGTATCTAGGTTCCCCTCCACATGGGCTCTCATCCTCCACTAGGCTACACCAACTTCCTTTTCATGCTGATTTAGGGCAGTTTTGCAAAGGTGGAAGCTGCAAACCCCTTGAGGCCTAGGCTCTGGAATCACACATCACTTCTACCATGTGCTATTGGTCAATGCAAATCACAAGCCAGGCCAGATTTGCATTGTGGGGAAATAAACTT